AAAAAAAAAAAAGTTGCAGGAGGAAAAAAAAAATGCACATTGATGACTGCAGCGAGCTGTATGGGCACAGCTGGGTACTACTTTATAGTATGTTCATTCTACTCACCGGGGTTTATGCCTAGGGTCAGACTTGGATACATGTGTAGGTTTGTGTCAGCTGTGCTAGCTAATGGATTTATTTAGACTAATTAAGTTCATTGGCAGAACAATTGAATGGGGTGGGGAGGAAGGTATGGAGGGCAACCATGGATGCCAGGGACAATGGGGGAGGAAGATGGGATATAGCAGAGGGTGGGGGATGGGGAATCAGGGATGGCAAGACAAAGGGCAAGGTATGCAGGACGTAAAAATTGGAAAATTATTTGCTGAGAACATGTATGTGTGGATGTGCTTGATTGAGCCAATGCACAGTGTATTTTGGATGGAAAATTCATTTGTGTGTTGTGATGGTGTAAAGTTAATTAATAAAAAAAAACATAAATAAGAATAACTTCTAAATATACAAGAAATCAATAATATGTTGAAACTATTTTAAAACTCATGTAATCACCTTAACAAAACAGTAGGTTATCCTCCACTACAAAATGGATCATGTAATTTACTAGAGGATAACATACTTTTTACTGTATTTCAATTTTTTTATATCACTTTTCAAATGTAATCTTCATGAGTCTATACCAACCATGCCATGTTTTTTATTGGAAACCCATTCTCCCTCATACATGGCTCCACTAGCATAGTAAAATTTCCCATGTCCATGACGACATCCATTCACAAACTCTCCTATGTATTCATTTCTCAAAGGATACTGCGAGTTGAGGATTCTCTTCAGAAACCATGTGTGTGTTCCAAAGCCATTCTGAAAAGAAGACAAACTGCCATCAGACACGTTCAAACTATTTATGTATTTTGCCTTGGTTTCTTCTTGTTAGATCAACAAAGAGCGGAAAAATTGGTTATAGTGAAAACACAAAAATATCAGAGAAAATAAATAAAACTAAAACTGGCTCTTTAGGAAGATTAATAACGGCCAGCTAAGTGGCAGAGTGGTTAAGGTGGCTGGACCCCATATGGCTAACTGTGTGGTGTGGTTCGAGTTGGGGACTCAGTGGCTTGAAACACACTGGAGTGGAGCCCGTGGGTGGCGTGGTGATTGAGGTACAGGACTCCCACATGGCCACCCATGGTTAGAGTCCTGAACCCAGCAGTGTGTGTGTATGCCTGTGTCCCAAGAGGAGAGTGGAGGAGAGGGGACTGCTGCATAGCCATACCCCCCAGACAGTGATTTCTCAATTTCCCTCTCTCTGTCTCTCTCCAGCAAGCACATGTGCCCTGTTACAAAAACCTAACCAAAAGAAAAGAAAAGAAAAGAAAAACACATGGGTCCCATGTGTGTGCATGCCCAAAATCCCTAAAGGAGAATGGAGAAGAACAAATTGTGGCATAGTTATCCCTCTGGAGGAGATGGGGGAGGTGGTGCTGTCTCTCTCTGTCTCTGGCAAGTACACGTGCTCTATAGCAAAAAAAAAAAAAAAAAAAAATTAAGAAAGGAAGATTAATGAAATTTATATACCTCTACAGTCCACAAAGACAGATGAAGAAAAAAGAGAGAAAACACAAATTATTAGTATAGGAGAAAGAGGGAATATCACTACAGATTCTACTTACATTAAAAGAACAATAAGGGAATTCAGGGGGGCCAGCAGGTGGTGTGGTGGAT